GGCCACACTAATGCTGACACAAGCCAGAATGCTGGCGGCTTCTTGGCCACTTGGGCACATACTGGCTCACCTCCATCCAGCCATCAACCAAACCCCCCACCCCGGTCCCTTTCTGCCAGGCACTCTCCAGCTGCTCTGCTCCAAGCCTGGAGTGTTGCAGGGGGTTGTTGTGACCCAGGAGCAGGACTTGGCACCTGACCTTGCTGAACCTCAAGGGCCTTTGCCCATTGATCATGCAAGGCAGAAGGATCCTCCCAGCAAGGGACCCTCAGTGTGCCACCAAGGACACATCCCAGAGGTTTCCCAAAGGATGAGAATCCTGAATCCTGACAGACACAGATCCTTGCCATCAATAACTGCTTGGTGGCAGCAATTCCCCCAAAAGATGCAGGAACCACGACGTGTTCCCTGCCCCAGGAAGCCTGAAGGAATTTTGGCCATCAGTAATGACAGCACAGAGGGGCAGGAAGCTGCAGCATCACATCCAAGACAACCAATACCCATTTCAGAGCTGGCCAAGCAGCACCAGCTCTGTGCATACGTAGTAACTGAGGAGTAACACCTTTGTAAACGAGCCAACAGCACCATTACACAACGTCAGGCTTCCCAGAAAGTGTGTTCCAGTTCCCACCACTGCTTCTGCCCCACGCAACCCCTCGCTACGTCCACGGCAAGAAGTTGCAGTGCAGAACCAGTCCCAGCAGCCAGTAGGACACGAAGAACCCGAGGATGCACTTGCTGAGGGGGGTGATGAGCCTGTAGTTCAGCAGCAGCATCACAAGGGGGTTTTTGGGTGCCCCTTTCCAACGGGGGCCAGATTCACCCAGCAGGGAGCTCTCAGAGGGAGGTGCTGTGGTTTGACCACCAGCCCCTTCACCCCAGAGCAAAGGTTCCTGTTCCTGCAGCAGGTGAGCACAGAACCAGTACAGGATGGGAGAGGAGCAGCCGAGGAACCGGGTCAGCACCTGAGGACGACAGGCAGAGCAAAAATCACTTGAATTTCACATCTCTGGCTGTGACCAGCCCTGACCCTGAGCCACGGCAGGACCAACCGTCAGTCGGCTGATAAGAGGACAGAAATATGGCCCAAATTCATGGTGCCAGGATTTATTAGGTTGAAATGAAACATCTCTCAGCTCAACCTGCTTTATTTATTATGATGCTTGTGTAAGCAGCCACGTGGTCCCCAGGTTTTGGCCAAGTGCTGTTCCTAATTGTCACCATCCTGGGTCACCATCCGGCTGAAATCCTCGTCACTGTCCAACTCAGGAGCTGGGCAGGGGCAGCAGCTTCAGGGAAATCTGAATCTCACTCTATTATTTTTTCATTGGGACCTCCAACCTTTAGTGCCACTCGCCATGTCCTAAAAAATCTTTAAAATACTTTCTAGGGACTGGTAGCAGGCTCTGGATCTTTCATTGCCTTCCATTAAGCTCAGCCCAACATGATAATGACCCAAAATCATTGTTCTCCAACAGCCCACAAGCACGTCAAACACCACCCACCAGCCAGACCCTTTGATCCCCACCCCGGTGTCCTGGTCACACTGAGCACCCAGCAAAGCTCTCTGGAGAAACATTCTGGCTGAGCAAAGGAACTGGCTTTGGAAACTCTCTGTGGAAGTGGCTCCCAAAGAGCAAAGGCAAAGCTTTTGGTTTGCACTGCTGCTGCCCTGGAGCTGGGACAGGCCCAGGCTCTGACTGCCACTGTCACCACGCTCCCCTCCCCTGGAGGAGCCACCCCTGTGTGTTGCTGTGAACTCCTACCTGCACGTGCATGCAGAAGAACCCAAACACCAGCAGGACCGTGGCGTGGACCACGTACACGAAGACAGCAGGGCAGCAAAATCCAGCTCTGGGTTTACCCTCCTCTTCACTCTTTCTTCTCTCTAGACCAAGGGTCAGGCAGTGCCGGGGGTTTGCAGTGAGGTAAGTCCAGGCAGCCCATGAGCTCAGAAGTGTGACGGGCAAAGCAAGCAAGAAATTTGGTATCTGCTTGAGCTCGAAGTACCTTAGAAAGCCCACATTCCAGTAAGTGTCTTGAATATAGGAATAGACCACTGGGAAGCGCTGGGAGCACCAGGGGGGTTTAGCCCCATTCATGCCCACCAGACGATAGCCCTTGTCCAGAGCCAGCTGCAGCAGTGCCTTGGGGACAGTCTGCTCCGGGCCAGGACCGCAGAACCTCACGTAGGCATAATACTGAAACACAGCAAAAGGCAGGAAAACCCCGGCGCACAGCAGAACCGCCGAAGACCCCGTGCTAAGGAGCTCCTTCCACAAGGGCCGGAGCTTCCCCGTCGATCCTGAACCCCCCTGGAGCCGGAGGGCAAAGCCTCGCCCCCGGGAGTAGAGGAGGAAGCCGGCGTTAACGAGCCCGTTGGCGCGCGCCCCGGCGGCCAGGGCGAAGAGCAGCCCGGCCAGGCAGCTCTGCCCCCTCTCCAGGCGCCACATGGCGCCGAAGGCCAGGAGGGCGAACAGGCTCTCCGAGTACGCCGCCGCCAGGAACACGTTGGCGGGGCCGAGGGAGAAGAGGAGGGCGGCGAGG